GAAGGTTCTACCACTCCCATCCTAACTGGCAATAGAGCCAAAAATGCCTCCCCATAATTTTCACCCAATGGCCTTGGATTTCACTGTAGAACAACCCTCAAATTACCTGGAGCTTGAATCTTACTACCGCAAATCTATCCTTCCATTGCTTTTGCTGGACCTCAAGAGACGTGGTCCAGTGAACATCCAACATCCTGTAATATTCTCTGGTTTTTCAGTATTCTTCTCAAATCCTGGTGCTCTTAGGTGAGTTCAACCACCACCTCCCTCATTATGGATCCTACAGACCTAGGCAGCCTCAGACTGAGGGGCTTTTTTAATCCAGGTAAGCCAACCTGACTAGGTCCTGTGAGCTTTCTGGTCAACCATGGCCCCACCTAGCCCTTAGCATATGACCTGCTGTAGTGCCAGCAGTTCTCCCCACTCACAGACTTATGCAAGTGCCTAAAGTTACACAACAAGCCAAGGCAGAGACTAGGAGATGTCTCAAGGTTTATAATCTCTAGTTGAACGTGGTTTAGCAATTCATTTGTCCACATTCTTTGAATTCATGGCCTTATATATGTTAATAAGTATGGCTAATGCATATTGAAGGTTTACTCTGTGCCAGGATAGGCTAAGAAATATATGTGAGTTTTCTCATTTAAACCTCACAAGTCCTTAAGAGTTTTACCAATGAGGAAACTGAAGTTTAGGGAGATTAAGAAATGTAATCCGCTAGCTTAATAGAATGAAAGCTTTAGTTAGACATCAAATCAGTAAGGTCTCAGAGCATATTAAATATGACAGCTGTGAACTCCCATATTTCTTTTCTAAAAATAGGAATCTCCTAATTTTAAACCCCCCAGTGACCGGACTTGATTTCAAGTAAACACAGAAGAAGATAACTATGCCAATCAGGTGAAGTCTGGGGGTGCAGAGTACTAGCAAGCCCGCAGGGCACAGTCTTCTCAAGTGTTTCTCTAGGCATGGACAGGCCCCTCCTTACGAGACGTTCAGAAGTCCTAGAGCTTTTGCCTCACTCACTCACCCCATTTCTAACCCTGAAAGTGGTGTGAGAAAAGGTCTTGCAGCCTTGAAAACCTTCTGTAGACATTTGCTGCCTCTCTTACATTTATATAACAAGGCTCATCTCTGATTAATTAATATGATGACCTCCAGTCAATCTGGTGTCAGAACTTCAAACTGTGGTAAAACGTTATTTATTTATTGAACACAGTTGCTTAAAACCCTTCTGGGGCTCCTCATGTCCCTCAGCATAAAGTCCTAGCTCCTAAAGGTAACATAAAAAGCCCTGAAAGTGCTCTCTTTCATAAAAAACCCCGAAAGTCAGTAATAATTTCTTTTTATAGCTAAGCCATGAAATGAGAAATCGGCATTGTGTTAGGTCGGTTCCCAGGTAAAAGAGTGCTCATAAGCCTAGTGGCTTTCTGGTAACACTGATCCACCCCGGACTGGCGGCTAAAGAAGTTCTTCATCACCTCCCCTTGTAATCCCTGTACAATGAACAGAGCTTTGTCCACCAAACCTTTCACCCAGTCCTGGAGCTCAGGAAGACGAGAAGCTGTCAGCCAATGTTCTGGACAAATGCTCCCCATGGAATTTCTACTAATTGAACTCAGGTCTTGCCTTGCTTGTTCTGAAGCAGGATCAGAGATCTGACTGCTGACTGTGTGGCTTCCCAGAAGATTTGGAAACATGCTTGATGTGGGTATGGGATGGGGACAGGGGAATTCTTGTGGCCTGGGGGCAGAAGAGGGCTCCAAACACAACATTAGGGCTTGGCAAAACCCAAGAACACCATGCCAAGACCTTTTCCCTTCACTTTTAAGCCCATTTGCATTTGAAAGGGACCTTAGTCCTCATTTCAGGAGTGAGTACACATTAGTCATTAGTGTACAGTGATAGTAGCACTGGGGACTCATATGTAGAATGCCCCACCCCTTTTTTTCCTATTCAATTTATTCTTATCCACCAGAATCCAGTTAATTTCCACCAGGAATTCTCCATCAAGTCTAGCTCACAGTAACTACTAGCCGATGACAACATAACACTTGTTGCTAGAAAGGTATCCCTTGACATGTGCAGCCTATGGCATCTCTTGAAATTTTCAAACTATGTGTATTTATACATATATACAGACATGTGCATATTATAACTTTTCATGCACTTACTCAAAAACTGTTTACTGATAACCTACTGCTCCCAGACACTGAGCTGGGGACTAGGGAGATGATGGAGAAAAAGGTAAGCAAGGTCTTGACCATTGCAGACCTCACAGTGGGGAACTGTATGACTCGGTGACTGTACCCACAGGATTTTAATTTATGGAGGTGACTAAGTGATGACAGGAAGAGCCTGATGCTATTGAAAGAAGATATTTATCACTTACATCGCCCCAGAGAAGGCACAGAACACCGTGCAAGGCCACCTAGGGAGCACAGGTTTTGGTCAGGAGGCAGTAGCCAAGCAAGGAGGGGAAAGGCTGGGCTGGAGCTTTCACTGGGGTTTCTGCAGGAAAACTAAAACTGGTCAAACAGTTTAAGATTGGCTATTCTGCATCGTTCTGGCAGGTTTTGGGCTCTAGCACTGGTTTCCAGTTGTCTGATACCTGGCCCTGGAATGAATTAGGGCAGATAAATACTGGATTGGTATATGAGAGCTAAAGGGGCCACTGAGGGTATAGACACTATTGATCTATTTGTCGGTTTGCCAATGAAAAGCAAGCCCTTTGCTATCTGTAAGACAAACCCTAGCAGGGTCAGTCTCTCCCTGAACAGCAAAATTTTCAAGATGTCAAAACATCATAAAATTCAAAACATGTTTAAAAACCTGATTAATACACTGTATCCATCAGGGTTCTGAATGGACAACAGGACCTACTCTAGATATTTGAAACAAAAGGGATTTAATGTAGGAACAGAATGTTTACAAAATTACTGAAAGAGGAAATCAGGGTCCACCAATGGATAATTTATTTCAAGGGCATACAGTTCCAACTTGCATCTGGAAGTAGCAAAGATGCTCTGCTACCAACACTGCTGTCCTTCTAAAGTAACATATCCTCACAAAGCTGGTGACTAGATATGGAATACTGGTCTACCTGCCGCAATGGACTCAACTGTCTATATAGCCTTGCTTAGCAGGAAGATGGTTGAGTCATCAGCGTACAGTGATAGTAGCGCTGGGGACTCATACTTAGAATGCCCCTCTCTCTTTTTTTTCCTATCCAGTTTCTTCTTACCCAGCAGAATCCAGTTTATTTCCACCATGATTTCTCCATCAAGTCTAGCTCACAGTAACTAACAACCTACAACAATGTACTTGTTGTTAAAAAGATATCCAATATTATATCTATTTCTGAGTTTTGCAAGTGGAGGAAGGAGGGGACAACTGTGGCCGCAGATGTTTATGTTCTACACAGTCTAACACACAAATGAAATATGTGATAAACACACAAGACTGAACTGCCTCTCTGTCCTACAACTGATAGATTTTTGTGCCAGAAGGTTGTCCAGCTGACATTTCTATTCTAGGCTGGAGTGGTCTGTCTGTCTCACACTTTTTTCAGCTGGAAACTCTCTACTCTTCTTTGCAGATACAGCTCAAGCACTGCCTCCTCTGTGAGGCCTTTCTTCTTCCTGCTAAGAACTGGACACTCCGTCCTTCATCCTCCCCATGGAAGCAGAGGCAGACTCTCATCACAGCGCCCACCATACTTCTTTGCTCTTACTCCAGTGTCTCTCTGCTTGACTGTGAGACGCTTCAAGGCATTCCATGGCATGCAGTAGACACAGAATAAATGACCTTTGGATGAATGGGAAAGGCTGAGGCTCTTACCACAGACCCAAGATGCAGGTAGGGATTCCAATAGAGCGTGCTACACAGTCCAGTCATAGAGGAGCTGAGTGCGTGAGTCCTGTTTTCAATAAGGCTAAAATCTCAGACAGTGTTAAGACATCTTAGCTCTGGCACTGTTTGGGACAAAACACTGTAACAAATAATTAAATAAGAGTAACCCGAGCAGGGATTAGGAAGCAGAAGGAAGTTTAATATCTGTGCATAACTCAGAGATACCAGGTAGTTTCAGTTGCAACTAACAGAAACACAACTCAAATAAGACAAAGGAATTAAAAAAGAATATACTGCCCAACATAACTGAGAGGTCAGGGTGCTAGCTTCAGGTGTACCCGGGTCCAGCCTGTACCCTGTGTCATCAGGGGTCTGTCACTTCGCTCAGTTTTCCTCTTTAGCCTGTTTTCTCACACTGACTCTCCCCACGCGGTAGCAAAAATGATTATTTTTTCTTTTACTTTTCTCAACTTACACTGTACCCATTCATCAATCTCAGTAGAAATAGAGTCTCTTTCTAAATACTTCCAGCAAAATATTTCGGGATTGACTCTGGCTTGGACCAGTCTGGTTCCAAGTACCCCTCATCCAAGCCAGAAGAATAAAAGATGCAGGCTTCCATTGGCAGGTGCTGTGTTAACCCCTGAAACAGGGGGGCTCCATGGGTCAGATCAGCCACACCAAAGCCCATGGGCTGAGTATGGAAGGAGGTGGCCCTCACAGGAAAATCAAGGTGGTGTTACCAGAAAGAGGCATATAAATGGTGGGCATGGAAAACAACAGCTCTTTCTTGCAGTGGTTAACTAGTATTTTGCTATCTCCAAAGCCTCATTCTCATTTTGAAAGAGGCTTTCAACTACTCAAGAGCAACAGCAAAACTGCAGTCATTCTCAGGGTGCTTCTTGGATGGGCTACCCAATGAGATTGGTACAAAACAAAAAAATTTGACATCATTTCTAAGTTTCAGTTGAGACTGGGGAGAGAAAGGAAAAACCCATCAGTTTCGGGTCTTGAGTAGTAAAACGAGAGTGAGAGGGAAGCGGGGAAAACGCTTGGGATGTAAATGGAATGAACAACAGAAAATAATTAAAAAGGAAGTGGCTTCCTCTCGTTTGTCAGTCGGGCCTTGTGAGGAACAAGAGCGGTACCTTTTCTGGAGCCTCAGCTGCTCTGCTGCCTTTGCAGCCGCCTCCTTGGGAAGAATGAGGCCTTAACAACCAGCATGGTGTCAGGGCTGGCCTCCACCCAAGCCTGAACAGTGCCCCCATTGAGGGACCCCAGGGGCAGCCCTGGAAGCCTCTCCCTTCTCCTGCTCCCCTCAATGGGCTATTTGTGGGACTAACAAGGACTGGGAGACACACTGCCCATCTCCTCCGAGGCCCCAACAGCTGCAGAATTCTGCAGGAACTCCACAGGGCCCCTGCACATCCCTGCAAAGACACCAACCAGAGGATGCTGGATTCAGAAAGGGGTCTCCAGGCGCCTCCTGGATGAGGGAGAAAATACTCCTCAGTTCTTTCCTTCCTCCCAGGCCTTTCTCTCGTCTCCTGGGATAGTGACTCTCCACCCCAAAAATATTTGGTAGCCTGCCTTCCTGCAGCTTGGATACCCTCCCTGTTCTACCCTCCTTGCTGGCTGGGAGAGAAGAAAAAGGAGAAATAATCTTCTAAAGCTACGAGTTCATGATTGCAGCCATGTCCAGATATTTCATCTTCATTGTCCACTTTCTCTGCTGAGATAAAGTGACTCAGAGTGGAAAGTGGTAGCTAAAAAGTTCTTATCACAAACCAAGATCACAGCTACTGTTCCCATTGATCTTTTAATCCCACAACAACACAAAGGAGCAGTAACAGGCTGGGCATGGTGGCTAACACCTGTAATCCCAGCACTTTGGGAGGCTGAGGCAGGCAGATCACCAGAGGTCAGGAGTTCAAGACTAGCCTGGCCAACATGGTGAAACCCTGTCTCTATTAAAAATACAAAAAATTAGCTGGGTGTGTTGGTGAGCACCTGTAATCCCAGCTACTCAGGGAGGCTGATGCAGAGCATCACTTGAACCCAGGAGGCAGAGGTTGCAGTGAGCCGAGACCACACCACTGCACTCCAGCCTGGGCAACAAGAGCAAAACTCCATCTCAAAAAAACAAAAATCAAAAACAACAACAAAAAAGGGAACAGTAACAGTCATTTATTCTATTTCTCCTGAGCCCATTAGGTAACAATTATTAATTGCCTTGAGGAAACAGACCAGCATACTGTCTAGAACAGACAGGTGAGGAAGAATCATCCCTGACTTTCTACCTCCGTAGGATATAAAGGCTTGCTTGTATCTTTCCGCTTAAGAGATGCAGGTTGACCCCTGCCCACATCTCTCCTTCCAGGAGCATATTGTTGCACATGAAAATCCCATTCTTGTGATATTCCATGTTTGTTGGTCCAAGCAAGTGTATTCTGCATTAATAGAAGTATGTCCGTTTTGGTGGAAAATTGCTGAAGTGTAAGTGCCCTCCAGACATCAGGCTTTGTAAGTGATTGATTAACATTAGGGTGCCATGTAGTTGATCCTGCCCTTCCCAGAGTGACAACTGGGATAAAACGGAGAGGGAACAGTCCCAGGAAAAACTTGTACCTACTTTGCAATGCACAGAATCTGTAGGGGGATCTCATACAACTTAAACTTTGTTCCCCCAACAAAGAAGGTTAGGATCTAGCCTCATTCTTCAGGGTCAGGGGACTGTTTTCCATGCCAGTCAATTCCTCTTTTGAACAAATCTTACTCATTATTAGATCATTGGGGATCCTTTCTTGTATCAATTTCCATATTATTTCCCTTAAACATGCAGACATTCATCCCGGTCTTGCTCCAGTACTACATGCGCTCTAATCCCATAAAAACTTCAACCTTTCCGATGAATATTTCCGTACAGAAATCACTCATCCCTCCTCCTGAGCTTTTCCATTTTGGGCTAAATCATGGTTTTTGCAATTTCTGCAACAATTCCATATATGATACAGTTGCCTGATTTTTAACCAGTTGGTTGACTGTCTCCAGACAAACTCTGTTTTTGTGTTTTTTGTTATTTGTCTTGGACCCAATTAAGCGTATGGAACTCAGCTGAGGTTTGACCAGGGTTAAAGTACAGACAGGCCATTGCCATCCTCTTTCGGAGGATTCTACTCCCATGAATGCACTCGAAGACTCGACGCTCATTACATGGCACCCAACTCTTACTGGGCTTCCTCAGTGATAAAACTCATGAGACTTTTCACATGAACTTCTGTTAAGCCCGTCAACTGTTTTTTTTTTTTTTTTAACTGAAGATCTCATATTCATTTCTCATTTAACTTTATCCCCTTAGTTTCAGTTCATTGATCTAACATGTGGAGCTCTTTTAGGAATATTGATTCAGTTAGTAAACCCTCTCAAATTTATGTAATCTACAAACATCCAAATATGTCTTCTCTATTTTCATTCAAATTGTTGATGAAAGTGAAGACAAGACCAAAAAGCTCAGATATTCGAGACCAAATGTCAGAGACATCATCACATCCTGTTCAGAACCATGTTGATACAACAAAAGCAGATGCCAGCCGCTGACGAGTTCAGTCCTGCTTCCCAGCCCAGAGACACTTTTCATAAAAGAATACCATATTTTTGGACATAAGAAAGTATTCCTATATTTTCCTTAAGTTGATATTGGATAGGGGTGTTCAGTATTGCTTTTCATACTATGCACACATAGGATTCTGTGGAGGCAGGAAGAACAGCCTTTTACCCTACCTTATGCATTAGGTATCAGGCCTCTGATCTTTGAAGAAGGTTATTTTTTTATTAAAGCAGCCTTCTTTCAAAGTCCTATGTTTCCTTTCTAAGAGAGTTTCCCAGATTACAGCTTATCCAATCAATATGGCAATAAAAGACACATGAAAACCTTAGACCTGTATTTTCCTAGGGTTCTCTAAATCCTGCCCAAAGAGGTGCTGTTTTCATTTCCCAAGAAAAATAGAACCACTCTAAGAATTATTTGCAAAAACTAGCTGAAATTCTAAATTCAAGATCTAGCAAAGCAGATTTGATTACGAAGTTAAGACAGGTTTCAAGACAGAAGCTCTCAGTTTGAATACAGACACTTTTGGCAAAGTCATGTGAAAAATGCAAACACGTCTCAATCAAATGTTTCCCCTGAGCCACTTTCCAGCTTCATGTCTAACAGAGGTTGAGTGTGAGCTGAAGAATGGTTTAAATAATAACATGAGAATAAATAAGTCACTTATTTGGAGATTCTAACAAGGAGGGAAAGTCACTAAGAAAAAAGTCACAACTAAGTTTAGATTTTGAATTAGCTTCATCATGGGATGAGCAAGGAAAACCCAAGTAATTCTATTTATTTTAGAGTTCAAGCCCACCAGAACATTAATTTCTTTCCTATAAGATTCTATTACAAATAAGTTGGATCATAGCTCACCTTGCCATATTTCAGCCTTATAAAAGAAGACTTCCAGAAGGGATTAGCCTCTCTCTTTTCAAAACCCCTGTCATGTGTTCTTCTTGATTATTTTGCAGGAATTGTTCTGATAAAATATTATTTCCCTCCTCCAGGTCCAATGCCCAGCACCTTCTGACACAGTAAATCTTTCCCTCATAATATGTCCCCATTAATCCCTTCCTGTTTTCCCCTATTTGCTGTCAGAATGACATAACAACTGAATCCTTCATGCTCGGGGCCTCTCTTTTCTTCAGTATCCAAATGTAATTATTTGAACTGCAGGAAGTCTGGTGTCCATCTCAAGCTTCCAGAGGCTCTGCCATAGGAGGCTCCTGCTGGGTGGGTGCCAGTCGCTTACCTCCCAACCCCTGCTCCTGGATCCTGCCAAGCTTCTCAGCCCTCTTGCTCACCCTCACAGCCCTCCTTTCTTTGCACATACACTGTTTCCCTTCTTTCCACAAGGCACCACTAACATACAGCCATATTGTACAGGACTTACACTGAAGGTTTGGAAATTTTGGAAAGGCACAATACAAAATTGGACTCAGCATCACTGTGGCTAATGTCTATCCATAAGGAGTCCCTTCCTGGCCAAGTTACTGGACCTGCCCTCAGCATGGGATCTCTGGCACGCTTTCTGTCCTCTCTGCCACACTCACCCAGGGAAAACTCAATCTTCTTTAACAATAAGAGAGAAGAAGAAGAAAGAAAACAAAATAAACAAATGACCAAAATCTATAATAACTCAGCAATCCTGAAATGCAGACATGTCTGCATTCAGATTTGTTTTTGTTTTTGTTTTAGTAGCAATTCAAAATGTTTACCAAGCAAAAAACTTAGCAAGCAAAAAAATGACAATACAAATGCACAAAATCACTGCAGCATTTTTAAAAATCATAGCACATCTATATGATGTAATAGCATTTGGTTATTTAAGATTATTTGGCTTCCTGCATAAGGCGCAGCCTCTAAGCAGTTATTAGCAGCTTCTTTCAATGGTAGGAAAATTACTCATTATATAATGTTTAGGAAAATTAGGATTCAAAATTGTATGAAGTGTGACTTCAACTCCATAAAAAATCTGGAGGAAAGCATGCCAGATTATCAACAGGGATTAAAAAAATAGGGGTGATGGCTCTTTTATTGTTTGAGTTTCCCTGGGTTTTTAATTTGTTTAATTTTTTAAAATAACTCCAACTTTTATTTTAGATTCAAGGGTTACATGTGCAGGTTTGTTACATACATTTATGGCATAATACTGAAGTCTGGGATAGGAATGATCCTGCCACCCAAGTAGTGAGCATGCTTTTTTTCAGACCTTGCCCTGCTTCCTCTCTCTCCCCTCCAGTAGTTCCTAGTGTCTATTGTTCCCATCTTTATGTCCTTGAGTACCCAAAGTTTAGCTCCCACTTATAAGTAACAACATGTAGTATTTGGTTTTCTGTTCTTACGTCAATTCACTTAGGATAATGGCCTCCAGTTGCATCCATGTTGCTGAAAAAGACATGATTTCATTATTTTTCATGACTGTGTCATATTTCATCGTTTTCTTTATCCAGTTCACTATTGATGGGCACCTAGGTTGATTCCATGTCTTCGCAATTGTAAGTAGTGCAATGAATATGTGAGTACATGTGGCTTTTTTGCAGTACAATTTATTTGCCTTTGGGTGTATACCCATAATACAATTCCTGGGTTGAATGGTAGTTTTGTTTTAAGTTCTTTGAGAAATCTCCACAGTGCTTTCCACAGTGGCTGAAGTAATTTACATTTCCACCGACAACGTATAAGCGTTCCCTTTTCTCTGCAGTCTCACTAGCATCTGTTTTTGGCTTTCCTATAATGGCCATTCTGACTGGTGTGAGATGGTATTTCATTGTGGTTTTGATTTGCATTTCTCTGACGATTCGTGATGTGGAGCATTTTTGCACATGTTTGTTGACTGCTTGTATGTCTTCTTTTGAGAAGTGTATTCCTTTTGCCCACTTTTTAATGGGGTTGTTTCTTTGCTTGTTGAGTTGTTTAAGTTCCTTATAAATTCTGCATATTAGACCTTTGTCAGATACATAGTTTACAAATAATTTCTTCCATTCTGTAAGTTGCCCATTTACACCATTGATAGTTTTCTTTTGCTGTGCAGCTCTTTAGTTTAATTAGGTCTCACTTGTCAATTTTTGTTTTTGTCGCAATTGCTTATGGGGACTTAGTCACAAATTCTTTCCTAAGACTGAGGTCCAGAATGATGTTTCCTAGGATTTTTTTCTGGGATTTTTATAGTTTGAGGTCTTATATTTAAATCTTTAACCCATCATGAATTAATTTTTGCATATAGTTAAATGCAGGAGTCCAGTTTCAATCTTCTGCATATGAAGTTATTCCAGCACCATTTGTTGAATAAAGAGTCCTTGTTTATTTTTGTTGACTTTGTC